TCAGATCAAAGCATACTATTTTCCCTCTTTTTTTACTTTCTCATGGTTTTTCCTTTTTGTTCTGATTCTTCTTTCACAACATGACTAATGTGAAAATATGTTTAATATGATCGTCCACACATGGCCTACATCAGATTGCTTGCCATCTTGAGGAGGGAGGGAGGGAGAAAAAAATTTGGAACTGAAAATCTTACAAAAGTGAATGTTGAAAACTATCTTTACATGTAATTAGAAAAAATAAAATACTATTAAGTAGGGGGGAAATAACTGAGCTTAGCATCTAGTTAGCAAAAAAATTAGTCAAACAAGGATACTACCAAAAGATGGTTCTTCCTTCCCCAATGACTGACCCAATAGTAATCTGGTAGTATCTCAGGGCCTCTCTCATAGAAAGCGGTTTCAGTGGACTCTATGACTCCCTACCTTGGGGTGCTGCCCTGGGTCCCTTCCCTTGTGGGCAATATTGTCGGGTCCCTTCTCCAGCTCAGCTAAATTTGCATAATTTCTTTTTGGATTAGTTTCACAGCATGAATTACAAAGTCGATTTGAAGGCTCATTTAGTGCTGCTTGCTTTGAGTATATTTCTTGATCCTCTGCACAGGGGGTCAAAATTGCTAGTTAGGTACTGAGGCTTGAGGGAGGAAAAAAATCATTCCCAAACATTCCCTGTTTGCCCAAAGTCAAGACTATAACTAAAACAAAATGAAACAAAACAAAACAAAAAAAAGCACACTAACATAATATACTGACATACTGACATTTATCTAGCCTGTTGGAATCTAAGGGATTCCTATATAAATGAAATAATTCAACTTCAAGAGTTAAATTTTTTCCCCCTGTTTTAACCATTTTTGGTAGAAATCTTCTTAAATATGTTTTATACTCCCCTCCCTTCTTAACAGAAATGAATATGATTCACTCAGGGTCATCATCAGGAACATCCATGATCAAATATATAATGTTATAATACAGCAGTCAGTTAATTAACCAGTCAACAAACATCTATTAAGTGCTTATTGTGTGTAAGGCAGTGTTCTAAGCATTGGTGATACAAGTACAAAGAATGAAACAATCTCTATTCTCTAGGAGTCTGCATTATAGCAGAGGAGGCAACATGAATGCATATCAATTCTTTCCTCTAAAGAGCTCATTTCATTTATAGTATGATTTTTTTAAAATGCTTGCTTCATTTATGCTAGGGTATGGTTTAGGTTTTCTTAGCCTGTTCATCTGTAATATTCTTCTGCTGATGGTCATCTTTCCTGCTTTAAGAGGTTGTTGCAAAGTTCATTTCCTACAAGGCAATCAATCCCCAAACCCAGGAGCTCTTGACCATGAAAACTCTCGAAGTTGCCACCAAGGTTGGAATTAGCCATCTTATAATTGGTTAATTAATAGTTAATAATTATTGCATATTAATAATTATCATAATTAATGATTAATTTAATTATAATTATTGTTTGGTCACCTGTACATAAGGAAAAAGATATAAAGTAGAAAAGCTAGCCATGGACTTGATCTTGGGCTCATCTAGGCAAGTATATGTGCCCACTACCATATTTAAGCAGCCACCATATTCATGAGAGGAGATGAATGAGAGGGAGAAAATCCCCTTGGTGATGAAAAAATGATCCTGAAATGGATATGTATAGTAATTTTTTTAGTATTTCATTTTTATTTTTCCCCAGTTACATATAAAAACAAATTTTAACATTTGTTTTTAAAACTTTGAATTCTACATTCTCTTTCTTCCTCCCTTCCTATCCCCACATTGAGAAGGCAAGCAGTTCGATATAGGTTATACATGTGTAGTCATACAAAACATGTCCATAATAATCATGTTGTGAAAGAAAACATAGGCAAAAAACCTCAAGAAAAATAAAGAAAAATTTTAAAGTATGCTTCAATCTGTATTCAGACACCATTAGTTCCTTCTCTGGGGATGGATAGCACTTTTCATCACAAGTCCTTCAGAGTTTGTCTTGTTGAGAATAGCTAAATCATTCACAGCTGATCATCTTACAATGCTATGTATAGTATTGGTAGTGACCTTTTGAACTTGAGAGGCCAGGACCTCCTAGTTCTGGGTATTGGTTGGTCAGCAGGCAGGAGATGATTTTTGAAACATATTCTCAGAGAAGGGAAGATGACTGTCACTAAAAGAATACTAGAGCTGATGAGACAAAGAAAGGCCAAGCCATGCCCTGCCTCAACAGAAGATAAGGACCTTTAGAGAGCTACTCACACAGTGCAGATCAGAGATGAAAATGAAATGCCTACTTAGATGTCCCACAAAATGTGTTGTATTTTGATGATGAGTATCACTCTCCCAGGGGACCATAATATGAGTTATAGGTTCTTGTAACTCATACTGAAAATCTGGGTTTTTTCTATGACATTTCAGGGGGTTTTCATTTTGGAGTTTCTTTCAGGAAGTGGCTGAGCTTGAAGTATCCTGATATCTTCAACAGAAGATAAAAGGGAGATTGAGAAACTGTAGTAAATGATCTTCAAGATGACTGAGTGATCACTGAGTGGGCAGAAATTCCTGTCTCAGGAGCCAGTGTGGACCCCATCATGGGTGCCAAGGAGAACAATGAATGATTACTGGATCATCCCAAAGTGCAAGTCTTTTAGAAACACTGAGCCAGAACACATGTCTCTCAAGAAGTGACCTAGGACACAGGCACATGATAGGCTAGTAGGTCAAGGAGAAGAGGCCATAATTACCCAATTAGTCTACACATAAAATAAATGAAAGCCTTAAAAATGAGTGTAAAGAAAGTCAGTTAAGAGATAAAAAATATGAAAAGGTCAGGCTTCCTTTTAGACTAAGGTACAACAAAATCTAGAATGAGTGTCAACTATGTTGTCTTCCAACTTTAAAAACAACACTTGGACAATCATGATGAAATAGAAAAAGTAAGTGTCTCTGGAGTCAGAGGACTTGTATTCAAATTTTGCCTCTGATGAATATTGCCTGTATGGCTTTGGGCAAGTCACTTGAACTCCTTATATTTCAGTCTATTCATCTGTAGGATGAAGGAGTTGGATGAAATAGCCCTGAGCCCCCTGTAGCCTGACTGCATTAGCTTTCTTGGCTGACATAATACACTACTAATGCAAATTGAGCTTAAAGTCCACTAAAACCTCCAAGTTGTTATTATTATTTACAAATAAGCTGGCATTTATAGCCATGTGTCTTCTAAATTATATTTGTCCAGGCTCTGGGACTCACTCTCCAAATCCTACTTGGAGGTCCTCAGAATGAGGCTGGCTACTTCTCCTCTCCAGGTTCAATGGATAAACTCTGAGGAGGTATTTTTATCTCTAATACTATAGCTCACAAGTGCAACTAGGTGGCACGTGAATAGAGTGCCAGGCCTGGAGTCAGCAAGACTCATCTCCCTGAGTTCAAATTTGGCCTCAGACACTTACTAGCTTACTTCTAGGGCAAGTCACTTAACCCTGTTTACCTCTGTTCCTCATCTGTGAAAATGAGTTGGAGAGGGAAATGGTAAACGACTCTAGTATCTCTGCCAAGAAAATCCCAAACAGGGTCACGAGGAGTCAGACACGACTGAAAAGGCTCAATAAATAGCTCACAAGCCCCCACTAGTGTACCTCTCCATTGGTTACCAGTTCATATCAATGAATCATCTGGACTTAGCATTTTAAAAGTTAACAGGTATTTACTAAAGTGGTATAGAAATAATAGTTTGTACAAAATATACCTCTGAAAGTTTGGGATGTGCTCTGCCCAGCCTCAACCCCCTCACCAAGTACACATAGAGTCCAAAGGAGAGTGAGCTCAAGCCTAGAGAGTAAATGTGGCAAAGGACTGAATCATAGCTCCTGATTTCTGGAAGTAGAACACTTTCCTGAGGTTTGGTGTAGTTTTCTACTGGGTTCCTTGAAAAGTCCTGAAACTTCATTTCTCCAGGCTGTCTAGTTAGTACTCAACATTCAATGCAGATGCTGCCACAAGCTGTTCTGGAGATGCTGTTAGGAGGTTGGCGAGAAATCCGAAATCTTCTGATCTGTCAAAGTTCACAAGGTCATCCTCTTGTGGGTAAGGAGGGTGGCGATGAAGAACATAGAGGCTCTTCTCCTGACCACATCCCAAATGGCTTGGGTAGAACTGCTCTTTCTGCTATGCTAGCCAGGCATTGGAATAACTGGATTCCAAGCTAGCTTGCTATTTGAGAGAGAGAGAGAGAGAGAGAGAGAGAGAGAGAGAGAGAGAGAGAGGAGGAGGAGGAGGAGGAGGAGGAGGAGGAGGAGGAGGAGGAGGAGAAGAAGAAGAAGAAGAAGAAGAAGAAGAAGAAGAAGAAGAAGAAGAAGAAGAAGAAGAAGAAGAAGAGAGAGAGGAGGAGGAGAAGAAGAAGGAGAAGAAGAAGGAGAAGAAGGAGAAGAAGAAGAAGAAGAAGAAGAAGAAGAAGAAGAAGAAGAAGAAGAAGAAGAAGAAGAAGAAGAAGAAGAAGAAGAAAGGAAAGAAGGAAGGAGGGAGGGAGGGAAGGAGGGATGAAGTTCACAGAGCATGACTGCATCTTGTCAACTAATCCCAATACACTTGTGTTTCTTTCATTTCATCCAGCGGTTTGAAGCACTACACCCCCTCCCCATTTGATTATCTGGATTGTTTCCATTTAGTTTAATGCCTTTGATTGATTGATTCAATAGAGATGTTCACACCTATTTCAAACCGCTGATTTATTGATTCAATCTAAATGTCTAGGCCCTCTGTAATTATTGAGTAGGGGTGTGGAACACACCTCTTATATTTGTAAAAGAAATGTCTATTGAATTGAATTGTCCAGAAGAAGGGTAGGGGGTGGGGGGAAGCTTGGCCTTCAATTAATTTTAGTGAATAAAATAACCAAGACATCACTTGCTTTTTTAAAAATCTAGTTATGGAATTAACCTGAAAATAGAAATAATCTAAAAAGAAATTAAACTAAATCACTAAATTAAAATATTTGTGTGCTCTGTCGGTTAAGTCCTGCAGTCATGCAGTGGGAGAGAAGAGGCTACCAGCCAACCACCACAGCCAGAGGGAGGAGGCAGAGTGGACTGAGGTCAGTATGAACTGTGTTTGTAACTGAGGAAACCAGTTCAAGGGGAGGGTGACAGGATGTCAAAGCCAAGGGAGCAGACAAACAAACACCAAGACGGGAGCCAGGTTGGAACGACATGAGTGGGTCAGTCAAAATGCAGCCAGACAACAGGGGAGCCAGGCTGGAAACCAGCGCTGAGGAAGGCAGGAGTCAGGCATCCGTTCCCAGAGTCCAGGGTGGTTCCATGAAAGAAGGCAGCTTGGCCTGATCAGCATCACAAGTGTCTTTAGCTAGGTTGAAGAAGGTTAAGTCTCACCCTTCTTGTTTCTTGAGGGAACAGCACCTTGGAATGCATGATAATAAATGTTTTTGAAGGAAATTTAATTGAATCAAATAAGAATTCACATGTTCCAGGAAATAAGTAATAAATTCTTGATTAGTGATTTAAATTGAGCCTTCATGACTACAAGTTAAATCAACCTGATTGAAATGAAATAGACCCTACCTGAAAGTAGTATATTGAAAGATGAAAGGCTTGCTTTCAAATAAAGAATATAAGAAAGAATTCTATACAGTTTCCCAACCTATGTAAACAGGCAACAAAAAATTTCTGCTCAGGGGGATTATAGCTTTGTACCTCAAAACAACCTATCCTGTTAATTTTCACTATTGATGACGATGCTATCTACTTTACAAGCCTGACATAATTATGTCAAGAATAAATACAGGGCAAAAAGATATGGTTTGCTTCTGCACTTCAGTTTGCCAAATTGGAAGAAGGGAGAGGGAGAGTTATTATCCAGACTTGTTATATTGCTGCGTTTCCAATTGACAAAACATCATCCATCATGCTTTGCATTCCAATTTTTCTCTGCCTTTTTTCCCCCAGCTCATCATAACATAATTATGTTCCATTTCTTCCAGCCAGGGACCTGCATTTTCTTTCATATAGGACAACAGCTGCACAGCACAACCTTGATGCAACCTCATAAGGGTAAAATAAAATGTATTTGTGGTTGTTTTAGTCTTGGCATTTCAAATTTCCATACTCCTATTTGACAAATTTTCTCACTGCCAAAATGCATTCAACCCTGAAACTTTGATGGCAGTTTGTATCGGGGCACCCATGATACTTCATGCTTGTCTAGGCCATAATTTATACTTGAGCTAACTTGTTTGGGTATTGTGTTTAGAAGATTAATTCTGCTCTCATTCTTTTTATAGGCTGATAATTGCTAATGGAGAATTGTCTTTGTGTCAAATAGAGCTGAACATTTTTATTCTTAACATCTATTTATTTCTATTCATTTATGCTTGCGTTGCAATATTCAGAGGATTAGGTACACTGGGCCAAATTATTCTCAATGAAAACTTGTGCCCAGAGCCTAGGTAGGGTAGGGTTCAAATACCATATGGTGCCATGTTAATCCAGTCCAATCCAACAGACATTTATTTAGTGCTTACTACTTGCAAAGCACTGTGCTAGGCACTGAGGGTAAAATTCCAAAATGAGAAGGGGTCCCTGCCTTCAAGGGGTTACATTATACTGAAGGGATATAGCATATAAATATATACAATATTTTGAGGATGAGGGAGTGAGCCCCAACAATGAATATATTGGTTGATAGTGATAATGACCAAGACAAATTAGTAACACTTCAGGATGACATCAGGCAGATCAATTCTTCCCTCGGGCCTCAGTTTTCTCATCTGTAAAATAAAGGAAGGGGGTTCATAGGATCATAGAGATAGAGCTGGAATGACATGAGAACCATAATTCAAACACATAAGAGGCCAAATGTCTCAAAATTAGAGCTTTCCAAGGGATGCTAAATAGTGAACCCCAGACCCATGGAGTCGAAAGGACCCTTGGTGAGCAGCCAGTCTGTCCTCATTTTATAGTAGAAATCCTAAGAAGTTAAGGGACTTAGCCAAGGTCACACAGTTCATTAGTAGCTCAACTAGATTAGAACTCAGCTCTCTCAGTCTAAACAGACCTTTGCATTCCATCATTCAGCTTTGTTGACAGTTACAGTTACCACAGGTATTAAATTGCTTTTTGTTTCTTTATGAGCATTCTTTTCTTTCCAATGAAAACATTTTTCATGATGATTCACTGACAGATCATTATAAGCTAGTGATGGATCATTATGGCACAGGGAAGGATCCCTGGAAATTGATTACAGGAACACGTTGGGTCCCCTTTTGAGAGATTATTAGTCCTCTTTGCTGCCTCTGTCTATTCATGTGGGACCAGATGTCTCAGAGTTATGGAGAAAAGCCCAAGACATCCTCATGTACTTTCAAGTGGGGAAAAACCATCATCAAACATTCCATCATTTCTCGCTCTGAAGTCTCTGTACTGTCTATTCTCATCTTTCCATTCCCACTACCATCCGTACTTCAAGTTCTCACTACCTTTCACCTGATCTATTGCAAGAATACTCAGACACATTTCACTTCACAGCATAGCAATTTGGGGTTTGTCATTTGAGGCTTAGACCACAATCGTTGTGAAAAGTGCTTTGCTGACTCCCTCTTCCTGCAAGGCTCCAATCTGCTGGTGCAGCTCTGTTTAGTATTGACCTTCCATCCACTAACTTTTGTCACTGAAATCCCAATCTCCTGTCAGTCGTGTGTGTTTCTGTTGCTATCATAGTTTGTTATTGTTGTTGTTGTTTGGTTGGTTATTTTTTTGGCTAGATAATGGGGTTAAGTGACTTGCCCAGAGCCCCACAGCTAGTAAGTTTCAAGTGTCTGAGGCCAGATTTCAACTCAGGTCCTCCTGATTCCAGGGCTGGTGTTCTATCCGCTGCACCACCTAGCTACCCCTCCTAGCATAGTTTTTAAAGAATTGTTTTTGCATGTCAGAAAAAAAAGTTTATCAAAGAGATTGCCTCCTTGAGGATGACCTCCAAATATCGGCCAAGCTCTGTGTGCAGAAAGGGCTAAGATAGACACTTGTAACTTGAAAACTGAAAAGCCTGTCCCTAGAGGACCAACCCTTCTTTTTACAGAACAGAGGTCTAGCCCAGCAGGGAAAGGGATTTGCCCAATGGCCTGCACAGCTAATTTTTAACACAGACAAAAATAAACCCAGCTCTCCTGGGTCTCAGTGTTCTTTCTCCATATATCATGAGAGCCAGTGGAAATATCAGTGCTACAAAGCTCACATGGTTGCTGTAAGGCTCAAATGAGATGGTTCAGTGAGCTCTTTATAAACTTTAATGCAATATATAAATATAGATTCTTGTCAGTATTGCTATCTCTTTTTTTCACATTTATTTTATTTTTAATTTATGGAATAAAACAAGAATCTCCATAACAGTATAATAAAAAAGATGATTGCACATGAAATTGCAAATCTATTATTATGTGTTGCTATTCCTTTTAAATATATAATAAAGTTATTGGGTAGATTTCTTTTTCCCCCTTTTTTTTTTGAATTATACTTTTCTTCTCCTCTTCTGCTTGCTTACTACCTGTATGATGTTGGCCAAGTCATTTAATCTCTCTGGGGTCTTAGTTTCCTCATCTGCAAAATGAGAAGGTTCAACCAGATGGCCTTGGGTCCCTCTTAGCTCTAAACCTAGAATCCCATGGTTGTCCTTAGTGTATCCGGGGAATGAGGATAAAAAACCTGATCCCTTACTCTGACTTCTTACTGCATAAACCATCATGATTGCAGTAGCTTAACCTCCCTTTTCTTTCATGCCTATTGTGACCTCCAACGATTTCTTCCATACCGTCTCTACTCTCTACTCAAGTATGACACAGTAGTAAGCACACTGGATGTGGAATCAAAGACTTGGGTTTCAATCCTTTCTCTGTCACTCACTAGCCACGTGACCTTGGACATGTATGTCCCTTTACCTCCATTGGCTCTAAGTTCCCAATCCATAAAATGAAAGGGTTGGGCTACATGATTGCTAAGATTATTTCCACCTCTAAATTCTCCTTGGACCCTCTCCTTAATTTTGTTAAGTTACAAAGTTTAAATGATTTTAATTTAATGAAAAGACTTGGATGAACCAAAACTGAGTGAAGCAAAAGGAAGCAGGATAACAACATACACAATGACAACAAAAAGTATAAATGAAAATCACACTAAAAAAAAACAGTGGAACTTGGATGAATTGCAATGACTAATCTTGGTCCCAGAGAACAGATGATGAAAGTATACATATCACAAAACAATGTACACAATGACCACAATAATGTAAACGGAGAGAATCAAAAAAAAAAAAAGCAAAACTAGTCACTGTACAATTCTAACAACTGAGCATGGCTCCAAAGGAAAGATGGCAGATGCACCTTCCCTCTCTATTACAGACAGTGTGGAATGCTTCCTATAATAACACATGCTTGCTATGTTAGTTTTGGTGAACTGATTTTCTCCCTCTCTTTTATTCTTGTCATAATAGATACCTCTCTGGGAAAGTTACATTGGGAAATGTAAAAACAAATCATGTTATTAATTTAAAAAAAGAAACAATCTTTTCAGTCACAAGGTGGGAGATTATGGTGTGGAATGCTGCATGCATTGTTTCGTTCACTGATTTTGCTTTCTTGTTTTTCTTTGTTATAAGGGAGAGTATAATAGTAGGGGGATAGAACATGAAATTACTGAGCTTAAAAAAATTATTTTGAAAGAAACATTAGTTTAAGGGTTTGGGTATGTGCCCTTGGGTTTTTAAAAGAAAATATATATTATCAATCCAATAAACTTATCAGACTCCTCTTCAAAATCATAAAATGGTACACTTCAAATCCATGATTTCCTCAAGATGGGTAACCCTCCACTGATGCTGATTACAATTTCTCTATAACTTAGTTGGTGATTTTCAGAAGTGATTACAGCAATCAATCATTCAATTGATGGATAGAGAAATGAATGAATGAACAAACAAGCAAATAAATGAATAAATAAAACCAAGACTGGTGGTCAAAGTGCTGGTGCTTCAAACATGTATTGTGTTCCTTATCTACACTCCAAGCCTTTCTAGCTTAGTAGAACTTTCTGCAGGTTCTCTTACATTGGCAGTATCTTTGAGAAGCAGGGGCTCCTCCAGACAATAAGGAAACATCTTAAGAAGACTTGAGTAGAGGACAGTGATCTATCACTTTGAAGAAAGGGTAATAGCTTCTAGATATTATAAAAAATTCTTTGGTTAGTTAAAAATACAGTGCAAGAAATAAAATTTTAATAAGACAATCTTTGAGTAGGTTGTCCACTTTTTCCACTTTTTTCTGCTTGTTGCTCCTAATTATCCACCCCCAAAAGAAGGACATGGATAATCTAAAGCAGACAGAAATACAAAATTCATTTGTTTTTGGAGATGAAAAACACATTAAAATGGAGGGGGGAGGGTGCTGAAAATTTACTTTCCTAATTATTATTAATAATAAGTTTTTTGTTTGTTTTTTTCTGAAATAAGGATCAACTGTCAAGTTCCCTCCCTGGGGGCAGCTTTTTCCATGTAAAATAAACATAAAACTAGTCAAGGCACTCCAGGAGTAGATTGTGCATTTGGCAAAGTTGGTTGGGAGTGGGATTAAAATTTTTCAAGACAGTGTCTATAAATATAATTACCAAATGTGATGACCTTTTCTCAGCCCTGTCCAGCATTTGTCCTGGTTGCTGACTTTCTCTTACTGTTTAATCTCTCCTCTCTGGGTTTCATGACAGTTCTTTCTGCTTTCCCATAGGCATCTCAAATTCAACACTCCAAACAGAGCTCATTCTCTTTCCCCCTTATTTCTGCTGAAGGTACTACCTTCCTCCAAGTCACCCAGGATTACAATCTTAACATCACCATCAATTCCTCCTTCTTACTTACCGGGCAAATCTAATCAGTTGCCATATCTTATTGCTTGTACCATCAGATCTTCTATAGCAACCATTTCTTTCTCTCCACTCTCTACTCTAGGTCACCCTTATTTTGTCTTGCCTGGACTATTACAATTATCTCCTAATTGGTCTCCCTGCATCAAA